TAGCTTCAAATACACTTCTCATATATACCAACACACTGCCTGCCACATGGCAGATAATCAGATGAATGAAGTGAAGAGATGATTTAAGTAATCAGCACAGTGCTAGGTATGATGGGGAATAGAAAAGAGGAAGAAATAGTCTCTGGTCTCAAACTTAATTTTAAAAAGGGAGGATTGGGCAAATCAGATAGAGAAACAGTGCACTGAAATACTTCACTGAAGCAACCATATCTAAGTATGAAGGATACCAAGGAGGAATGGATGGTCAATAAATGTCAGATGGAACAAAGACAATGCAGAGAAAAATATGGAAAGGCCAAAGAAAGAAGTTGAAGGTAACTGTAATCAAAGTTTCAATGACTTCAGGGATGTAGAAATTGAAAAAGGTTCTTAGGGATCATCTGTTATGAGACAATCTCCACAAGTGAGGAGTAAACAAGCTGGGTCCCACAGAGGTTAAATGACTCCACCTGGGCCAGCTACCAGGCCGAGTCAGGGCTTCTAACACAGCGCCCTGGCCTCTATACCACACTGCTGCCCACCAGGAGGGAAAAGGTGAGAATTTAGGATTCTTAAAATTCCATGAATACTTGAAACAAGTCTGAGTAATACACAGTAAAATTGGGGAGGGAGGGTGTTATTAATTATAGCACAGATGTAGTGAGTAATTTGGCAATGAGATTCATTTCATAGTTTGTGACAAAAAATTTGAAACTTATCATTTAGAATTAAATTATTGAAAATCTAATATAGGAATCAAATTCTGTTTAATATTGATTTTTTTCATATAAACTATAAAAAATTCCTATCAAATAAAACATAGCTGTTATGTAGTGTTTCTGAAGACAGAAGCAAATCACTTTAACAGAAGGTACTGCTTGAATCCCAGGTTGGTATGTCATTAAATGTAATATTTGGGTCTTTTTAAAAAATAAGTCAAACAGTAAATGGTGATTAACGAACCAAATTGCACATAATAAGTTAATGATCCGAAGGATTCCTTAAATAGGAGTAGAGTTTAATAATGCTTGGAGAACAATAATGCAAAACTAGCATTATAAATCCAATGGGCATTCTTTATTCTAAGCAAATTTAATACTAATATTGATAAAGTATATAAATAGTTGTCAAAAAATGCTCAGAACTTGGGGAATTTTCAGGCTGAGGTTTTTACTATATTAGATACAGAGTCTTACTGACAAAATATTAGTGCCTAGCTTAGGTTAGAGACTTCAGAGGAGAGGTTAAGTTCTAGGTTGTTGGCAGTGTGTGCTTTGAGAATTGGATGGCATGAAATGAATATCTGTGATATTGAGGTGATAATGGTGAGCAACGAAGAAAGATCTTAAATAGGGACGAGGCACTGAAAGGAAAAAGAGTAATTGCTTACTATGTTACTGAACCAGATGCATTACAACTCTTTCACTAAGTATTTTCAACTCAAAAATTCTTCCTCATATTGAAAAAACATTTCTAATTTTACAGGGAGATCAAGGAAATCATGAGATTCAATTTTAAAGAATTTTCTTTGAAGCAAATATTATCAGTATGTTTCAGTAAGTCATTAAAGAAATATCTGGGTGTACCAAAATTACAAAATTATTTAAAATTGCTCTAAATAAATAGAATTTGTCTGAAAAAAACATATACACTAATATTATGAATTGTTAAATTCATAAAATGAAGAATGACGTGGTTATCATTATCCAAGAATCACTACCAACTGGTTTTTGTGTTAGTTCCAAGATAATTTAGGCCAAGAACAGGCACATTTTTTCTATGTCAAAATCCAGCATAATACTCATAATTATAGCATTTCTGTTTAGTTCGATGGGTATTGCTTGTAGGATTTAAAACTTTATTCATTTCTTTAGAAAATTTTAATCACAGAGGAAGAGGAATTTTTTAAAAATTGAAAAATAAGAGTTTTAAGAATGTTTCTTGGGTTTGGGTTTTTTTTTTCCTGCCGATGATTCCAAAACTAGCATTTTAAACACTCCATTTGCAGAAAATGCATTTTTATTTGTGCCTATTTCCTCCCAGATTATATTTCTAACGAAGCTGCTTAAAGGTAAAGTTTCATATTGTACTCAGCAAAGATTTTGAAAGCATTTAGTGAAAATTAACTCTGCCAAATTTCAGAAAAAAATTTCTAATCGACTTCATAAGTAATGAGAAAATCCTAGAATGTACATAGGAAAAATCTACAGAAATTCCATGATCTAATTGCCTTGATAATTCTAACCTCAAGACTTCAACAAACAAGCAAAAACATGCAAAAACATACAAAAACTATCCCTCCTGAATCTCCTAGGTCTCTTGAGGAATAAAGGTTACCTTTCCTTGTAACTCAGAGGAAAGTTTCCAGGACCAAATATATTTCATTTGCAACCACCCTAAAGATTCTAAGGATTGCTTAATTAATATAAGCACAACTGTTTTGCAACTGTAAACCTTTTTACATGTGAGAATCATAACAACACAGGATATAAGGATTATACTTGGAGAGCTAAGTAGCAATAATCAATAGCAATAAACCCACTATTGATGGGAGAAGGGTTAAGCAAGTATCTTGCTTATTTAAACAAAAGATTGAGAAGAAAGTAGTGGTTGCCAGGGGATGGGGCGGAGGAATAGACAGTTTTTCAATGGGCTTAGAGTTTCAGTTTTGCAAGATGAGAAAGTTCTGGACATTGGTGGTACAACAAGGTGAATGTACTTAACCCTAATGAGCTGCATATTAGAAATGGTTAAGATGGTAACTTTTATGTTATGTGCTTTTTAAACCACAATTAAAAAAAAATTCAACTAGACCAGAAGAGTGAGGTAGTCAGACTGAGTAAGGATATTTTTTTGCACTTCCAATAAATTGTAAGTTTATATTTAAAAAAGAAAATTGGGAAAAGGCATTTGAGCCTTAGAGGGTCAGCTTGCGAAAAGGTAAAAGACAAATCACCTATGGAGTTAACTCAGGCTAGAAAAGACAGAATATTTGGTTTTGACATCCGGGGAATATGCAACCAGTGGTTACATATCAAGTAGTTTGAAACTGAACATTGGAGGTGGGGGAGAAATTGGCATTCCCAGAGATCATTGCCCAGAAAGCTAGACAATATGATAGTATGACATTCTAGATTAAATACTTGGGTTTATGTATTTAGCCTTCTGTGTTTAAAGCGAGCCCTAGGTATTACTTGTTAATAGGATAACCAAAAAATCATTTTGGCTGATGGTATTAAAACCTAAATAATTCCAGCTAGGAAGCTGATATGGAAGAAAGAATATTATCTAAGGCCATGACAAAGAATGGCCCCCACACCATTCAGAAAGAGCAAGATAAAAAAGCCAGTTTCTGAAGCCCACTCTGGACCAACCACATCAGAATCCCTGGGGGTAGGGACCTGTACCCACATTTTTAATAGGCTATGCACATGAATGTTTGAGAATGATGGGACTAAATTTTAAAAGGAGAAACTTCTGTCATTATAATGGAGGTTAGAACTCATTAGAGGAAAGTACAGAGTTTAATGTTTAAGGATATTCTTGCTGACACCATCATGGCCATGATTCTTTGAGCTCCTGAGAGGTACATTGGAGAGTCTCTGCTGTTTTACAGAAGGGATTATTGGATTAAACAATCTCTTTGAAATATTAGAAGAGATATTCTTGAGTGAGTCAAATGGTAGTCTCTGCTGCAAGAACCAGCTGTCTGGCTAACCTTGAAATTTTTAGAGCTATAATGAGAACTTTTATAGCTCTAAAGCAGGGATGACAAATAGCAAATATTTGGCATGAATGCTGTTCTTCTCTCTTTCCCTAAAGATGCGGATTTCAGGGGGCGCCTGGGTGGCTTAGTCGGTTAAGCGTCCGACTTTCGCTTAGGTCATGATCTTGCGGTTCGTGGGTTCGAGCCCCGCGTCGGGCTCCGTGCTGACTGCCAGCTCAGAGCCTGGAGCCTGTTTCAGTCTGTGACTCCCTCTCTCTCTGACCCTCCCCTGCTCATGCTGTCTCTCTTTCTCTCTCTCCTAAAAATAAATAAATAAAAATATTTAAAAAAATTATAAAAAAAAAAGATGCGGATTTCAAATTCTCATCGTAGCACTTTAGGGCAGCCTATCAATTATAGTAACAAACAAGATGAAGCCAATTTGTCGGGACTTCTCTGGGGGCATGGAGCGGGTGGATGGGGGAGACTGGGCTGTCTTTAAAATTTTAGACACACACACACATGCACACACACACACATGTAATATTTGTGCAGAGTAAAATTTACTTAGCTAAATATTTAGAAATGTGTAATAGTTTACAGACTTTGGTATAATACGTTTTGACTCACTCAGATCTCTCTCTAAAAGATATTATGATTTGTCCACTGAAATTTGGAAATGTTATAGTGTCATAAGAAAGCACGAGACGCCTGGAAGAAGTGACAAGAAAAAATGGACCTTGCAAGTGAGAACCGAGTTTCATACTGGTTCATGCCAGATCCCTGAATTTAGATGTTATTGCCACAGTTACCCTTGTGGCCTATACAAAGCCTTGAAAGTCTCCAGGAGAGAATCACATATATTATTTCTAGCACTAACCAACTTACTTGGAATCTTGTTCTCTAATACAGAAAACTGGAGAGGAAATAGCAAATTACGTTGGGGTTTTTTTTCATCTTAAATTAGTAGTGCAAGAAAAAATCGGGAATTAAAATATTATTTATTGCTTCAATCTTTAAACAGAATTTAATCTAGACTTTTATGAAGAAAAACTTAATATGCAATAATTTGGCTATCCAATTTACTGTACTATCACTTATGTCTTCCTAAATAAACCTGTAGCAGGTACTTTTGAAATAGCAATATAAGTACTGAGTTCACTACTTCATATGTTTTTTTCTGGAAAAAAAAGACTAGAAGTAAAAATTTTTTTATGAAAATCATAAAAGCTAGACTTAATTTTGCAGGGCAAATCTCATGAAACCTTTCTTAACTAATTCATTTAATTAGTACAGCTCATGAAAATTTGAAAATGTCTCATGTTGTTTTGCAATAACAAGGGGTAGGAGGAAATAATTTTTTTCTTAACATGTTTTCAGAATAATACTAGAAAAATTGAAATCACACTTCTTTATCCAACATGATAAATTAACATAAGACCTGAATATAAAAGTTCCAAGTATTCCCAAGAAATTCTCTCAGAGTTGAAAAGAATCTTCAAGGTAATAACAATCCAATTTTTGCTTGTTTTATGAATTCCCTTTATGCATCCTGAATTAAGTGCATGTCTATTCTCTGCCTTAAATAATTTCAGCAACAGGGAAGGAACACTACTACTTAAAGTTGGCCTCATGGCTAACTGAAATTTCTTATAAATCTCTATGCTGTCTGAAGCTGACTCAAATGATAAGATGTAAATTTTTTAATCTAAAATATAAATCGTAGCTATAATACAAACAGGACACAGAATTTTAAAAAACCCATTATACAGCCTATAATAATCCTTTTGACTTGGTGACTATCTCTGTTATGTTCATCTTTTTCACAATTAGGGAATTCATTCATTGATCTGGAGTACTAGTCATTGAAGGGGTAGTAGTTGAAAAGAGAAGTTAATGAACTTGCAGAACTGCCAACTGTCTATATATGAATTTGGTATTTCTGATAAAGCGTGATCCACAAGAATGATAGCTATTAAGGTTATATCATAGATATTAATGATATAGACTTCTATAAAATACTGTTTTATTAATTTTGATCAATACATTAATTATAGAATGTCTACAGGTTAGCAAATATAATATAAATTATTTTTAAGTATGTTGGTTATGTTTTCAAATATCCTCAATGAGCATCCAGAAGTTTCTCTAAATTTAAATCAATGGGTCCCACTAAAAGTGCCTAAAATACATTACAGTATATATCTATAGTTCCTCTATCATACACGTATAGATTAGACATAGGAAAATGAAAATATATGCTTAAAAGAAATTAGTATATTTCTTATCATTTTATATCTTAAGAGATAATTAGCATTTTAAGTGTTAGCCTTTTTTTCTGTTTACTCAGCTTATTTTAGTAAGTATGAACCATTTGAGCTACATGACATTTGTCACAAAATGTAAAATTGAGGGAATAATCTAAGGTCCCTTCAAGTCCTAATATTCAATATTCCCTAAAACTTGTATTAATAACTGTTGAGTATAGAAATTAATATTTACTTTCCATTACTAAGGCTTATATACCAGTTATTTGATAAATTTAAAATGTGTTTCGTCTCCATCAATTTGAATGCTAAGCTTTTTATATAAGAATTCATAATTGTTAATTCCTATCAGAGTTATCTCAAGATAGCTGTCAAAAAATAAGAAACGTTATTAAATGTCATGAAAGGATAAAAAGGGGAAAAAAAGATTTTTACCTGAAGTCTAGTCAGTTGACAAAAAATATCATTCTAGATTTGTAAATTTCTAAGGCAGAATGAATAGCACTTAGTCTTCTTTCTACCAAGTTGCGACAGTTGGTTTGACCACATTTCTCCTTCCCTGTTTTTTGCAGCTAAGGTAAGATCACATCAACCTGCAGCCATGGTTCTTAAACTGTGGTCCTCATGGCGGCAGCAGCAGCTCACCTGGGAATGTGTCAGAAATGCAAATGTTTGGTCCTCTCCTCACTGCCCCAGGCCTACAGAACAGAACCCAGGAAGCAGGGCCAGCAATCTGTGTTTTAACAGGCCCTCTGGGTGATTCTCAATCATACCAAAATTCGAAAACCACTGGCCTGCAGTAACAAAGAAAAGTGTGTGTCTGTAAAGAGGGCGGTCAGTTCTGCTTATTCTGCTGGAGATAGGAAAAGAAGAGGAGATTTGGTAACGAAATATGAAAATCAGTGGAGTGATCTAGGAAGAGTAAGATGGTAAAACGAGTTGAAAGAAACAATAAACTTTCCACTGATATTGACAAGACTTATTTCCAAATCAGTTCAACATGACCAGTTGATTTTGGATCATGAAGATGAAATTGCAGCTCCACAATAAATAGTAATTTATCTTCTCTCTGCATTTAAGGGTTAAATTGGGATGATCCATCTATATTCTTATCATCTGATCTTTCAAAATCATTGACATTTATTTAAAATGGTTGAGATTAGAGGTTCAATACATAAACTAAAGATAAAATAAGTTGTATTTAATAGCACTGAGCTTTAACAAACTAGATGAACACTTAGATAAGAAGTGTTTCTTGGTGGTACTAGCCCCATATATAGGAATTAGTTTGGGATAAAATAATTACTAGTAAGGAATGAGGCAGATTTACCAGTGGTGTTTGGGGGGTAGATTGTGCTAGATTAGTCAGGGGGTTAAATTCTGGAGTAAGTCTTAAAGATAGTCTGGCCTAACTGAATGAACACAATCTTCAGCTTGGTGTCAATTTGGGTTCAAATATATTAGTTCTGAAATACTGAACCAGTTTCGAAAATCTCTGGAAAACCATATTAAAATGGTGCTGATAAAAACATGGTGACAACAGGGTTGCTGTAAGTAGCAGAATAGTTACAGGGGGTTCAGCGATGTCTAATATATGGTAGGTATTCAATAAGTAATTGTTGTTAATATTAGTAAGATTGACTCTTCTGTTACCACCTTCTCTTTAAAAACGGTCATGGTGCAATTTTCTTAGAGGCTACATTTGATTCTGAAATCACTTGTCAATCATGCTAGTCAAAGTATTTCCTTTAGATACAGTGTACACAGAAAAGTTGGAGTGACTGACCTTTCAGTCTGTATCTTCCCAAGTGAGATGCTTCTATTCATACTAAATTCCTATACCGAAATACGGTAATGGTGTTGATATTAGTTAAGTAGCAGTCCTTTCTGAATCTATAGATCTAGTTCAATGGGCAATTATTTTTTGGCTTTCTTTATTGTGTTTCAATTGGCATCTAAAGAAATAGGATGGAGTGGAGAGCCATGGTGGTATTGGGAGAAATTAGCATTCTTACCCACATCCAATAAGGTACAGCATATGAGTGGGGGGTAAAAGAATGGAAATTTTAGAATTCTATTTTTACATGTGATTATAGCATGGTTTAACCTTTCTGGAGAACAGCAATAGATAAAATTCCATAATAAATTCAACTGAACTTTCAAATCATTTTGTCCTATTGAAATTCTAGACTGTCAATCATTGGTATAAACCACATTGCTAGTCTGAAAGATCTAGAAAAAATATAGCAGTTTCTGAAGCAAATTAGCAAATGATAAGCATTTTTTTTTATATTTAGGTGTCTTGTACATATCCTTATCCTTCTTCCTAAATTATCTTTAAAAATGTTCTTGAATGCTTGTTTATTTTTGAGAGCAAGAGAGAGGGCACAAGCAGGGGAGGGGCAGAGAGAGAGAGGGAGACACAGAATCTGGAACAGGCTCCAGACTCTGAGCTGTCAGCATAGAGCCCAATGTGGGGCTTGAACTTGGGAACAGCAAGACTGTGACCTGAGCCAAAGTCGGACACTTAACTGACTGAGCCATCCAGGTGCCCCCTAAATTATTATCCTAATGGTTCTGTTGTTTTATTTTATGGGTAGTTCTGGCACTTATGTGTTCTTTTGGTAAAGTTGCTCAAAACGTTTGAAATGGGAAGCTAGGGACGATTTCTACAAAAGGGCAAATACCTGCCAACTAAACTGTTCTATATCCCACTTCGGTTTCAAACAGCATTGAAGAAGAAAAAAGAAAGAACCTAAAATGTATCTGCTATTTTGAGAAGAGGGAGGAGAAAAAATTTTTCTAACAACAGGCAATTCACTCTCAACAGAATTTGTTGCGAACTGACCAAGAAGACTGCTATGGCAAACCACCACTGGGCTTAAAGGCTGCTTTATTACATGGACTGTTTCTGCAATGGAATTTTATGTGCACAATTTTTGAAGTCGGTAAAATACACATGTGTATACACACTTCAAAATACACTTTGGTAACTCTTAAGCACGGTCTCTCATAAACAAATGGGCACCAAAAGGAGAGGTCTAGGGAGACGGTGTCGCTCTTTTCCATTTGATTTATTGACTGTGGTGGTGGCACTCTATACACTGGAGGATTTGGGTGCCTAACTGAAGCATCTGGGACAAAAACCCTTGTGTGTTCTTCTCTTCCCCTTCAATCATCAACCTTGGTGGTTTCTCAAGGCTAAAAACAAAACAAACAAACTCATTATGATGTTTTATCTTTGCACACTCTAGTAGTTACGGGTCCTCTAAAGTAGAACCATATCGTTCACAGTTCAGTGCCCTTCCTGATTTCCTTTGTTAAACATCATTATTTGTAACATAGTATGTTCAGTAAACCAAGGAAATAGAGGTCAAAGGTAGTACTTGTTCCTCAGGGTTCCCTGAAATGATAGCAGCGGTGTATTATTTAGCAGTAATTTAAGGTTATTTCAGGTAAGACGGCATTTCAGGGTGTGATGTTAATTTTTAAAATTCTTTTGCCATGCAGAATATAAGAAATGATTACAGAATGTGGAGAAACAAGTGATGCTTCTAAAGAATAAGATCTCATATAGATAATAAAAGTATTACTATAAAAAATTAAAGCATAGGATAGTTGTATAGTCATTGTAAAACAGTTTGATTTTAAGAATGACTAGGAACAAAATTTCATTTTGTGTGGCGGAAGAGATACATACATGTGATAAAACTGGCACTTCTTCATGGTCTTTTGGGTATCATCACAGATTGCTACATTATTTTGTTGCTTTTAATATAAAGAGAGATTGTCTCACATTTTCCAATTCTGGTATTCTGTTTTTTCTTCACACTCCATTGATACTGAATAATAGAAGTTTAGAGTAGGAGGAAACTTTAGCTTCTGGCATGATCTTGCTCATTTTTCATAAAAGCTCTCCTACTGAAGTTAAATGGTTTACCAAGAGTCAGGCCTTGCACTGGAAGAATTAGGTCTTATTATTCTTTCTCAAATGATCTTTTAAAGGTTAAATAAATAGGGGTTTGGTTT